AGGGGGAGGAAAGGGAGAGGGGGGGGGGGAGAAGCCGCGTATAGTGCCGATGAAACAGGTGGAACCGAGAATCGAGAAAAGTCAACAGTAAAAGTTTTCCTCAAGGGCAAATACGACCTCCCCCTCCTCCCTGAGACAGCCAAAGACAATGTTTTCGGTGAGAATCTCAACCTACGACTCCTGCCTCCTTCTGATAGGAATGAACATACCGCAAATTGCTCATCGACTCGTTCGACAGCTCGCATTAATTGCTCGGCTTTTTCGTAGACGCTTGGAAACCGATCGGCATTCTTCCCCAACATTGCAGAAAAGAACTTCGTCATCTGGAAACGTTAATGACATGAGTTGTGAGCAGAAAGGGAAAATACGTACTTGACCTGTTTTTGAGAGTTAAAAAAAACTCGAAATATCGCGAGATTTGTCTATAGGATCACTCAGTTCATAACAGTACGCTAACAAGGGTGCCACTCATCACTTGCACGGTCTTTGGGGGGGGGTCACATTTTGCCTCGACCGACTCCCATGATGCTGGGCATTTCGAACATATCGTCCAAGTTCAGAAAGGGCTTCAATCCGCCATGCTTTTCGCATGGGCGGAGACAAGCCTGCCATTGAGCCTTCACCATTGTGCACTTCTCCAGAAATGGGGTGAGCGTGGCTGCATAGTTCATTCGAGTAGCGGCTGCCTTTACGGTGGAATCTTTTCGTTTTGAGACAGTTGTAACCATGTATTTGTCCAGCATAAGACATGAGAACAGCTGTCTCAAACAAGAGTACCCCACAAAAGTTGCATCCGTACGCGAGTAAAGTGCGCGGCCACGCCCCTCCATCACCGGGGTATGGAGTGTAAGGCATCAAACTTCTAGACGATAAAGAGCAGAGGAGCGGCAGTAAGAGAAGCAGGGCCGATTTCACCTAGCAGCGAGAACTGAGCAGCGGCTCGCATGAGTGCCATATGGGCCCTTGCTTCCATTAGGCCAACCTCCATACTCCTATGTAATTTGGTTTAGAAATCAAACTTGGGGTGTAGCCCGCGATATTTATCGTTGTTCACCAGCTCTCTTGCCGAGATCACAGTAGTCGTTTCAGTGATTAATTGCATTAAGGTAAGGAGGGGGGGCACTGGTGCTCTTCGTGGTGGAGGCGACACCTTGGAGAGATTTCCG